TTCGTTTTATGAACGAAAACGCTTGTATATATTTAGGCTGGCCAGCCTCTTTGGATTTATACCCCAAATTCACGGTCGTAAATCTGTGCGAACCGGTGAGTACTCCATTTTTATTTGCTACCATCACCAACGATAACAATTTCTTAGCCAGTTTTGCGTCGTACCACTTTATCCCCCTAAAACTGTTATACTTCTACCTTTTATCTCACTGACACTCCTTACTTCAACCACTTATGTGGTTTGCCAATTTGTTAGTATTTCTATTGCCAACCTGCGGGACTCGTTAAGTGTATGCTTTTTTACCCGTCATATAACATTGTTCCATTGTTCCATTGTACTATCGCAGGAATTAAATCGGTCCAGGAAGCTTTAGCCACTTCAACTATCAGATGCTTTGTGTCTTTGTTATTGGGATTTCGGATAGTTTCATAAAAACCCTTCATATTGTGGTGAAGAGTTATCGACAGCAAAATGCACCAGTATCCTGTTCGCTTCAATTCCGAAAACTTCATCGGGACCAGCGTACACACAAGTCACCTCAGCTCATAGTAACACTGGTCTAAGGAACATATGAGCATAGATGAACTGAGGTTTTAGTGATTCTCATCAGAATTGTAAAAGTACGTAAAGAAATTACGATATGGTAACGAATATAAGCCGATACATTTTTGGAGTATTTTCATCTCTGTAGGGAAGACGTCAACTTATATAAAGGTTAGGCGCAACTTTGAAAAAGTTCGCATACACAGTCCATCCAGGAATTCACTGCGCACGTCTACCCTACTTCCACCTAGCATTATCCGCTAATATTCCGGACGAGAATTTGGAGTACCACATTTTCGTACGGTGTCTACGCAGTATTGCAGGTAGTGTGCTTATAACTATACACGTATTTTCGCGGCGAAAATGTTCGGTATATTGCACATTTGACGTTTGCGACCGATGGCAGTAATAGAAACATACGGGAATATACAGAATCAAACACCATCACACTCAATAACATGGGAAAAGCCATAAACGGCGAACAAGTTCGGCAGGATATCAAAGTGAGGGAGGAAGTGCTTTGGAAGATCTGGCGCGCCATGTGTTAACATTGTGTTTAGGCGTTTTGCGTGCTGTGTCCTGCCCCTGTGTTACCTTTAGGCTCTTGTGTTTTCCAAGAGACATCAAGCTGGACGCTTATCCCACTGGTCAACTGTCCTGGCAGGCATGCGGCGACGTAAACGATTGCCGCATCAGTGAGGATTTCGGCGTTTCTCGAATAAGTCGGCTCACCATGGTGTACAGAGTTCCGATGACGAGTATTGCGTAATAGGTCCTCATGTTTGACATTGCCACTCAGCGGCATGCACATTACGCCTTGGTCGTGCGAAAACGTACCGCGCAACTTGACGGCGGTAGGTACGTGGACATTTAGGCACACTACAGTCAGGGCGCTATGGTTAGATCCCTGTTGCGTTGAGCAAAAGTGTTGGGTAACCGTTAGTCCTGACTTGCTGCCAAGTGTTGACTTTTTACAGTCTGTCCCTATATTCTCCTTAACGGTATTTACAAACGAAGAAACTGAGAAGGCGACTGTCCGGCTGATCTACCCAGCAATCTCTGTATCTATAACAGATAACCCGACGTGCTTCTTCTCGAAAAGCTACATCTGTACTGTAGTTACCTAGGGTTGGTGTTCGGATGATTCCGTCTTGTTAATTATATACGCCAGATCTAATGGAGGTTGTTTAAACAGACCCTTCGGGTGGTGCCTGATTTTCGTTGCGATAAGTATGTTTGCCTCTCGCAGCCGCGATCAGGTTTATCTCAGGCTTTCTACGAAAACTGGAGAAGGCAACGGTGATGGGGACGTGGTTGGTTGTTTTCAGTGGAAGCAGATTATGCAGCATCTTACAGATTAGAGGTCAACGAAGATACTTGCAGCGTGAGGACAGTAGAAAGCAGGTTGGCTTGCTTTGCAGGCGATGCGGTTGCATGAACTTCAGTGTTTCATTGATATCACGAGCCGTAATCTTACGGCTTCCATTTTCCCGTGCCGCTTACGGTTTAAAAGCCAGGTGTCTGAAACCCACCAGTGCTAACTTGTATTATAAACTCCCTCCAAAGGGTCATCGTCAACTGTTTCACTGGCTGTTTTTGGAAATGTATTTTGTACGGAATTTGTTTGTATGCTATCATCTGCGGTGTTCACCTGGCAGAGGAGACATGATGATGTCACCCACGATACTAGTCTATAATCTCTCCCATCCTGTCAAGAAAATGAAAATACATGTTTCGTGTTTGCTAGTCTGGAAACCAAGGAGTCAAAGCACACTTTCATGACAGCGCGGCTCTGGGTTCTGAGTTTTAAACAGTCGTCACTTTATACAGTAAAACACACTGATTGCCAGAGGAACATACTGGTCTGCCGTCTGACCGTACATGGGCATGGCCAAAAGACGTACCTAGGACGTCGATACCAAACTTTATCAATTAGTTATACAAAGAGTTCATTGTATACCGCCCGACAATTTGGCTCCCAGTTCATAGATTCTCACAATGGTGCAAAGTAGCAAACTCAGTCAATAGAAGATCCGAGAGCACGCTAACGATCTTCTTTAGCACCTTCACAGCAAATAAGAAGTGAAGCTAATTAAACGGAACCTAGGGGTACGGACCGGCTATAGATGGACTATGATGAAGTCAACAAAGGCAGGTAACACCGCTAGTGAGATGCGCAGGCCAATTTGTGTACACCCTGGTGTACACTAAATGGAGCATTACTTCGCGCAGGAAAAGAACCATACAAACTATGCGATCAGGTGAAAGCCTGCGATAAGACCTTGGAAATGGACAGCTGCTTTAGTGCACAGTATTCTGTAAACTCTATTTTCATTAGCTGTGCAAGAAGTGCGAACTGGTATCAGACCGAATGGTCCCGGCAAATGTGCAAATGAAGAGCATGCTGTGCATGCGCCTACTGGGTCCCTAACACTGCAACGTGTCCCGGGGGCGCGCAATCTGAGTAACATTGCGATGAGGGAGTTTAAGCACTCGGAGCAGTGCAAGCAGGCGAATACTAAAGCGCGACAGCTTTTACGTTTCAGGAGGGTACTGAGTTGTACCAGGTGAGAGGTCTTTATCTAACTGTTTATAACTGTTGTCAGCTCAGATCTGGAACGCGTTGTTCTGGTCTGGACATCCGAAATGTAGCAAGATATTATTTGTATTCAGAGCGTGCAACGTGTTAGTTGTCTTCTACTTGCAGCAGCTTTTCGTCATTTTATAATCACGAAGCTTTATCAGATCTTACTACTGGGGGCTATTATGCTTTCCTAGCACACGAACCAGAATGCAAATGAAGCGGTTGCTTTTTTCGTCCCAGGATCATATGCTGTCCAAAAACTTAACTACTGTAAATCAATTCTCTACGTGCAAGTTGAAGCGGCAATCAGCAAAGGGACTGAATTTGCACAAGAAGAGTAATCAATACGTCACAGTTTCCGCTACATGGGCACTTACAATCCGCTTTGAAGCACCAGGAAACGTGAGTAGGTGTTGATTGGGACTAAAATTACTTGCGTAAAATTAATAAACACAGGGTAAAATAGTTAAAAAGTATTTGTATAGCAGGCGACCTTGCTGCTTAGTACACAACCTATGGAGTTTAGCGGTCTCTATTCTTAGCCGATTGTGTTTTAACCCTCCGTCGTTTTGTTGCAGGATTCGGTCAACCGTGGAGGGAGGTCGGGCTGCAGGAGTGGACCGGACCAGCGATATCTATGACCGGAGGGTGGTAAATAATACATCAGAATCGCTTGGATACTGATGCATCCATACAAATTATTTCTTTTATGTTAATAATATACCCATTTAATTATTTATGAGCATAATACACGTTTATAATGTATTGTTACTTTATGATAAAAACCGGTGTTATTTTGTGCAATGTGACTATATAATACGAACTTGTGAGCATAAAATAAATAAAATTACATGTATATCTATTATTCTAAGCACCATAAATCCTTAGTAATTTTATATTATGTGTGTGGTTAAAACGATTTTCTTTCGGAGACTTGATGGGGGCAACTTTGCGATACTGTTCTCAGCTATCGTCTGGCCTCCTCTGAAATACTGCGTCCAGACTTGTCCGTCCTGCCTCGTCCTTGACAGAATGAAGCTAGAGAGTTTTATGGGTGGGTACTAGGTTAGTTGAGGAAGTACGGGGACGGACATACCCCCAAGCGTCTACTTCGTTTGGAAATGCATTCAGTGCACTACCGAAGGCTTAGAGGGGACCTAATCCTAATCTACCGTATCTTAACTGGGAAGGTGAGTCCGGCTTTATCTTGGTTATTCAGTACCGCTAGATTGTCTCCTCCACGTGTTCATTCGTTGAAGCTGGACAAACCGCGGTCCGATCGGATTAGGGTGGAAATCCGGCTGTCACGCCGTTTTCGAGCGTCGGAAAGTGCTTCCGGAAAGTGTGATCAGGGAAAATACGGTTGGGTTTTGAGCGAAAACGTGATGCTCTTGAGTGGCAACACGAAAACTTTCACTTTACTTGACTAACTCGAATCTTCATAGTTCGATTTTACTTTTCTACCATTTTACTGCCTTAATATTATTATTTTATTTCAAATGAACCCCCTTATTCTATACCTTCGATTTCTCCTCCGATCCTTTGCTTACTTTACGTGATGGCCACAGCAGGAACTGCTAGGGCAGGAAACGTGGGCATTAACTGGTTGACCAGGGCGGGATGCGTAAAAAGTCTTTTGGAGCTATCAGCAACGCTGAGCACTTCATCAATTCCTGGCTCAACCATCCACTCAAGCTGGAACACTCACGGGATTCCCCTATCGTTCCAGTCCCACCCAAACTTGAATTCGAACGGAAAATAATACCGCGTCAAAATCACACACATAATATAATACATCTATTTCTTACATTCATGCCTGTTTTATAAACATTTGACGCTTTACTTCATAATAACTTTTGCTATAACCTACGTTATTCGCAGCCACATCTAGCTCCATAAGTAATTTTGGTTTCGGTCCACTTCGTGCTCTCCGGGATGTCTTCCAGGCATGATGGTAGGTTTTTCCCTTTCTTTCACTGTCTTTACGTTACATCAGAACCATCTGTTTAGCAGCTTTTCAGTAAGGTATTTAGATACTGTTTTTATCTTATAATTTTGATCCTTGCCGATCGGCTCTTCTGACCCATTTGGCGCCTATCACATTGGTGGTTTCTTGTTCAGGAATGCTGCCTGTGAGAAAGACCTTGGTATACTCGTATCTCCCGATCTGCGTACCTCCGAGGACACCTTGAGGAAGACAGCGACTGCGAATAGGATGTTCTGTGCCATTAGGAGATCGTTCTCCCGAATGACTCCAGAGGTCTTCAGACTTCTCTTTTCTTCCCATGTGCGCCCTATCCTCGAGTACGGTTTGCCTGCGGCCTACCCTTTTACAAAGACTGAACGTGTTATGATTGAAAGAGTTCAGCGACGAGGCTCGAAATCCATCGCAGCGCTCCGTGACCTGCCTTACACTCAGCGTCTTCGACAGATGAACATGTTTTCCTTGGACTACCGTCGACTGTCGGGGTGATCTGATTTACACCAGACGGATATTGCGAGGACAGATAGGGAGTGAACTGCAAGAGTTCTTCCAGCTCTGCGCTGATAGCTCGACACGGGGTCACTCTTGGAAACTGTTTAAGCCGAGGAGGGTCCGGATTCATTCTGATTTCACCCTATCAACTCGAGTGGTAAAATACTGGAACAGCTTGCCTGAACTGGTCGTTAAGGCACAATGTGAGGAAAGTTTTAAGAAACTGTTAGACTCCTATCTGCTGAGTATGCAAGGATCCTGCTGCTTTTGATGCGACCGTAATGGTCCCTTGCGGAATACCGCCTCGCAACATGTCGCACAATCCTTGCTCTGAACGGGATGTGATGGAGCTGACACAGGATGCCCTATCTGCTCTCTACCACTCCAATGATTTCTACACGAATGTCTAGTGGGTAATACGCGCTTTGTTAAGATACATCCCTTTCATATTTCCTAACGCATTACACATATTCGTCTTGTGCCATTTACAATTATGAACCACGGTCTTTTGATGGGTTAGTTATTTTGGTTTGGACACTGCTCTATTTTTTGAGACTGTAGTCACTCATTTCTATTGTATTTGATTTCATCCATTGAGTGGTAGATAGCAGAATGGAGGTCCCATGTCAGCTCCTTCACTTCCCGATCTTCCAGGGATTGCATTCTTGGTAACCGTGACTTAGCTCAGGGTGTAGTATCAGTACTGCAGTATCCTGGAGTACTCGGAAGATGATTAGCAAACGTCTCAAACTCGCTTCTGGCTGCACATTGACAATCGGGTCCCTCAGTCTGTTCCACTCATTAATTACTCGAGTAGAAAAAGCAACATCTGAGCGGACTGAACCTCCTCCGTTTAAACAGCTTCCGGATTTGACCTCGAGTCGAACTGCCAACTCTTAGTTGTTGTGGAGTTCTCCGAGTTGGGCAACTCGGAGAACTCCACAGCAACTGAGCAAGCCTCCCGAGCTACCAATATTCCAATTCATTGCCAACTCTTAGCTAAACAAACTGTCTCGGCGCGTTTCCCAGTTCTTGTAGTATACGCCTAGTTTAGATGAAGTCTCAGCGACGTCGGCGATAGTGTAAGGAGACAAGGTTCATCCTCTGTAGTCCTGCGGGATAGGGGAGTTCGCGTAACTCAAGGACAGATCTCAAAGCTCGTCACTGAATATTTTTCATCTTATCACTTTCATGCTTGGATAGAGGGGTTATGGCCGATAGTCAGAATTTCAGGATTGGATAGATGCGGGAGGTGAAGAGAAGTCCCAATATCTGCGGCGTCAGAATGATCACCTTATGACGTCCCACATCCTGTTCACCGCAGCAGTCCTTATTATGTCACGACTAGTTTTGAGATCAGAGGATACTATGGTCCCTAGGTCCTTCTCCTGTGTGGCAATTTTGAGTAGCTGCCCGCCAATGTAATAGATGCCCAGTGGTTCGGCAGCACCGATGGAAAGGACAGAGCACTTATCCTTGTTGACCGGCAAACCTCACTTGATAGACCAAGCGTGTAGTAGATCAAGCGTTTTACGGTAATCGGTCAGCATCTTCGAGGCTGGACACTTCCGACCATAGCTTGAGGTTGTCTGCGTAGATCAGAAGATACGTTTGTAGCATACTTGTAGGTTATCGATATATATATTGAACAATTCCGGTATGAAAACGGAGCCATGTGGTACGCCACTGTACATAGGCACTGGAAATGAAAGGGTATCGTTTACCTTGGCTTGCATGTTCTGACCTTGCAAGTAGTCACTGATTCATAGTAGGAGGTTCCCTGTTACGCCTATTCCACAGAGCTTAAAGAATAGTTGCTGGCTTGCTGAACAATCTCGTGCTGCCAGCTGGGTGGTTCGGGTTTTTTCCGTTCCAGCAAACGGTTCGGCTGCAGTGTTCCAGGACATGGTGCGTTTTCGCCTGGCAAGCGTTCTTCCTATAATAAGCCACAAATGTTTCTTTAACAACACTCCGACGTGGCGGTTGTGACTCGTCACTAAATAAAGTCACTGCCCCTTTCCCCTGAGAGGCATTGTACTTCAAGGGTGCATTGGACCCCTGCTCCTTCACGGACCGAGAGGTGTATGAACCATCTATTTGGTCACCGGCTCCCAACGGGTTGCAACGCCCTCACATCGCCTTGCTGCTTTGTAGGTAGGGCCCCCTAAGACAACCCTCTACTGCGGCCTAGGCAACCGGGTAGTATCGCGCCCATTGACGAATCATGGACCACACTGCTTACTACTTCTCCTGCTATGCCTATCTTCTATGCTAACTGAAATGCTCAACCTCCACTCACAGATCACCCCACCTCCCGTCCTTCACCTTTATGTATTCTTATATCTTCTGTCACCGTCACAAACGACCCACGTCTTGCAACAGATGGAAGTAACAGCCAAGCTTCCGGTTTTCAATCTCCTGCTATCGCAACTGCCTCTCACTCCACCGAAGCTCCAGCTTTTCTTCAACCTGGTTTTCCATTCATCCTCGCAACGTTTATTGTTCGAACTTCGGTGCAGATCGGACGACAAACATGTCTGGCCGTACTCTTGAAACGCTTTTTGTAGACATCTATTGCCTTTCAGAGACCAGATTACAAGACTCTAGCGCCGTTACCATAATGGTCTCTCCGGTAAACCTTGACGCCAAATATCACTTGTGGCTTCCTTGAGACTCAAAAGCTACCTCCTCTGGGCAAGCTGGTGTTGGGATTGCACCGAGTGTCAGGGCTGAATCAGCTCTGTTTGACTGGCTCCCAGTCAACAGTCGGCTATGCGCAGTCCGATTAAGAGGTTCATGCAATGTAAGCAGGCGTCGAGACGTTGAGCGTGCCTTGTTTGTCGTCTCCGCCTACGCCCCTACAGACTGCAACCCGGATGCAGTCAAGGATAGCTTTTACCAGCAGCTACATAAAGTTCTGCGTTCCTACAAAAGAACTGATATAGTCATTCTTTCCGAGGACGTTAACACACAACTGGGCAGCTTTCCACCAAGCGAGCACCACTTTGGGCGTAGTTTTGGTCTCACTGGCAGTAGATCAGACAATGGAGACAAACTGATCGCTTTTCGCTCTGATCATCGCTTGTATCTTTCGAGCACTAGTTTTCGGCACTCGAGGAGACCCACTGCTGCCTGGCGCCCGCCCTCACCAACGCAAAAGTTCTCCCAGCTTGACCACATAGTATTCAGCTACAGATGGCGCGGAAGCGTAATGGCCTGCCGATCCTACTGGTTCGTGCTAAGATTTACATGCGTTTCGGAGGATCACCTAAGCGCGCTCACTACCGACCGGACGTCGCAAATCTACAAAACCCTGCGATTTTAACCAGGTACCAAGCCTCATTGTCAACCTTGCTTGACTCAACTATTGGCGGTGACCTCGATACAACATGGGCGCAGATCAAAGGTGCCTTAGTTTCAGCCAGTATTGACATTTGTGGAGTTGCCCGTCACCTACGGAAGCATTGGATTTCCGTCGTCTCCTTGTGGCTGATGGACAAACTCCGCTTGATCCCGTCGGATTTAAGACACAGTGAAGAATGCCAATTCCCGGGTCGAGTTGCGCAGGAGTCTGCAAATGGACCGAGGAGCTTGATGGTGTGAACGTGCTAGGGAGATGGAGCCTGCTAGTCTCTCTGGTTATACCAGAAAACTTTTCCATTTCATTCGAGTCACGGAAGGTGTTCGATCTGGTATAAGTGAAACAATATGCGAAGAGCATGTCACCTTAATCGCAAATCTTTAACGACGGTTGAAGTGATGGGCCAAACACTTTGGCTCGCAGTTTTGTTCGCGCCTAGCTCCATCTGCTACCTCCGGCGCTCTCCTTGGGGCCGAGTGGTCTACCTCCACAGATCCCCCGTCTTACCAAGAAATCGAACAAGAGCTCCACCACATGAAGCGTTATAAAGCACTTGGCTTTGATTGTCTTCCTCCAGCTCTAGTTACAGATAGTATCGCTTCGCTGGGTCGAGAACTCACCGCATTTTTCCCGAAAGTTTGACCGAAAGAGTAAGTTCCATCATCTTGGAGTGAATCGATAGTCGTCCCCATCTACAAAAGGGACTTGCGCACAATCTGCTCCAACTACAATGGCATAAGCTTAGTCCCCGTCGTTTGCAAGCTGCTAATGTCTATCATACTTCGCAGGCTGTCCCCAACGCGCGAATCCTTACAGCGAGAAGAACAAGTTGGGTTTCGTCCTGGTTGCAGCTGCATCGATCAAATCTTCACACTCCGCCAGATCCTCGAGCTCCGTCATGCGTATCAGAGGCCAGTAATTGCTATGTTCTTCGATATCCGCGCAGCCTTCCACTCTGTCAATCGTGCGGTACTCTGGCACTGCCTCTACTGAGAAATGGTGCCCCCGAGAAGTTCGTCTCAATAGTCTGACCTCGGGCAGGATTAGGACTTATCGCAAGCTTTCGCCTACCTTTGTGGTCTCCAGTGGAGTTCGACAAGGATGCCCTATCTCTCCG